ATAAAATCGTCGCCCGACTACTCAGTTCGTAGCAGTAAAACGGAACAGCTGCTCGATTGGATGCGATAAAAGAGACAAAATATCAAATAAAGAAATTAATACGGATCTAACCATGAAATGGTGTTGGAGAGAGAGCATTTTTCGGCCCAAAATGGCCGCGCAGAAATGTGAGAAAATCTCGCGCGCTATACTCGATTACGATTAGACCAAAACGTTTCCCCAATGTATCGCCGGAGAACGAAGAAACGGCGATCGAATTCGTCGAATATAAAGCGTCCGGATGGCATGCAATTCGAATGCAGAGCCGCGCAACTTTACGTGACGAGTGCTGCGCCTGCGCCAGATAATGTTAGCGGCGGCCAATAATGAATATTAATCGTTATCGTATCGAGTTGTTACCTAATTATCCGGGTAGTCGAGCATGCGGTGCTCCGTGTCGTTTTCGTGTCGACGAAAATACGATGATGCTTAACCGAGGATCGATTTATCGCTGGTGCACGGTGTGATATTTCGATAATCCAGAGAGTCTCGATTTTGGACGTCTACTTTGGAGGGGGGGTCATCATGTCAAGGTTATAATTAGTTAGAATATTGATTTATAATCATTTTTAACGTGACTTAGTAATTTTAACTAAAATAATATAGTACATAATATATATTATACTACTATTATACTACTACTATATAATAATAACAATATTAATATATATATAATATATAATATAGTAGTATAATATAGTATAGTATTATATACTATTATATACTATATTATACTACTATTATACTACTATATTATATATTATATATATATAATAATATATATAATAATAACAATATATATATTATATATATAATAATATATATAATAATAATATATATATATTGTTATTATTATATATTATTGTACATTTATATAAAATATACAGCGAAGTAATTAAAATACTCGCAATTAAAAGTTCTTCGATTTTCTACGATTATATTTTACAAACTGATATCCAGATATTTTTAAATATAAACTATTAGTAGCACAGCTCAAAACGTGCAATAATTGCCAAAATAAACACGAACGTTCCTGCTACGAAACATTGTCGGCCAGCCAATCAATTTCGGAGAGTTCGCTTCAGGCATATTTACCTCATTCGAATGCAACACATACTATTAACGATAATACTAATTCTGGGTCACAGCGGGCTAATATTTTCAAATTAACATTAAACCAACCGACCTGTAATGATAATTAGCGCGCATCGACTCGTAAGAGTGAAAAGATAGAATTCACTTGGATTTTGTAAAGTTTTAATATATGAAACTTGTTTCAATAATATCATTTATTCAATCATTTTTCACGAAGAAGTCTCCAAAGTTTACATCGGGTTGGCAACTAAGTAATTGCCGATTTCAGTTATAGATGTCTCTCACTCCCATTTTTATGATATCCGTAAATGTTATATTATAAAATTATTATTATTATTATTATTATGTTAACTTTTATTATGCGTGAATGTTAGCAACTGGACAAATTGAACGCAGCGGTCAAGGAAAAGCGACCAGAATTGGTCAATCGTAAAGATGTCATTTTCCACCAGGGCAATGCTAGGCCGCACACGTCTTTGTCCGCTCGGCAAAAATTGATTGATATCGGTTGAGAATTGATGTTACACCCACCATATAGCTCTGATCTCGCGCCATCGGATTACCACTTATTTCGATCCCTGGACAACTCCCTTCATGGTAAAACTTTTAACGACGATGACGCTGTAAAATCTCACTTAACTCAGTTTTTGGCCGAAAAGGATCAGACTTTCTACGAGCGTGGAATTTTCAAGTTGTCAGAGAGATGGCAAAAGGTCATCGAACAAAATGGAAAATACATCACAGATTAAACTTCGTTCCAAGTAAAAAAAAATCTTTTATTTCATTGAACAAATCGGCAATTACTTAGTTGCCAACTCAATAGTATAGTAAAATAAAAAATCGATCATTTTGACCGTGGTAAGTTTAGTGTTAACGGTAACTCGAACGTGTTCCGGAAACATTGAGTTTCGGAACCGAACACAGTCTCGCAGAGGCTGTCGGAACGTCGGGCCGCGGCGGCGGCGTCGCGTCGGCAAAAATCCGGAATTAATTTCGACGTGAACGGGAAAGAAGCGATCGTGACACGGGGCCATCATTTATCCGGGAATGCGAGGCATTCCTCGCCCACGTACGCGGCGGCCGAAGGTGAGGCCAATTCAGGAAAACCTGAACCACCCGTTGTCCACGGCGATCTACGAGCGCGCGCGCGCGTGCTCGCCGGAGCGTGGATCTTTTTTATTCGAGAGATTCTTATTCGCGGATCCCGTGTACGGTCTCTCTCTCTATTAACTAACGGCCGGCCGGTAACGAGCACGCGGCTGGGCCCCGGGCATCGAAATTTCTGATTACTCCTGACCGCACAGGAAATACTTCGGCGACCGCATGCTGCATACCGGCTGAAAAACAGGAAACACCAACACTGCGGTCTAGTCGAGTTTCGCGGCGCGCGCGCGCGGACCAAAGCAGATGGATATCGTCGTCGTGGCTCGAGTGTCGAAAATCATTACGCTTTGCGGCGCTCTCGCGCTCTGCCTCTCCGCGCGACACACAAGACCGCTTACAACGATCGGCACCACGAACCTGTCAATTAGGAAACAGAGCAAAAAGAACAAGCGGCGCCGGGTTTTTCGTGTTTTTCTTTTTCTTCTTTTTTTTTTTAGCGGGCCGACACCCCGGTCGCGCATTCTGCCAACGCTGTAATCCATTTTCTGCTTCCGTGCTCCAATTTTGCCTCGCTCGACTGACCGTAACACCGTGTCGCTTGTTTTCTTTATTTATTTGCCCAAGCTGCCGCCGATGCCGCGCGATTTCCATACGTGGACGTCTTCTTGTTTCGGAATCCGTTGAAATTGGCAGGTTGCGCTGCGTTTCGTTTTATCGGGCCGTTGCAAGAAACGCTGGACGACAACGACAAGTCAAGTTTCTAGTTCGATGATTTTAATGTCGGGTCGAATCGTTATAGTTCGTGCCGCAGATATTGTTTTAAATGAGCCGTTTGTTTTGGAAGTGGCGTAAGTCGCTTTGTTTTTAAGTCGATATATTTAAGGGTTTGCGTTTGAACACGTTTAAAAATATGGACTTTACTTGTATTTGTTATCTCAGGATACTGATATTCTTCTCAGTATAAATAATTTCGTATAAACATTAAGAAATCACCACTTTTCATTACGGTAAAGTGACTTATGCCACTTTCAAAATAAACGGCTCAAATATTTATGATATGTTATAATATGATATGTGAAATTTTTAATTCGTTTACAAATATTTTAATAATATTGTTCTATGAGGATGCCAAGATTGAATTTGTTTAAACTTCGTGTGATTTATATCGTAATATATACTTCAATGAAAGAGAGTGATTAAAAATTTCTTCGAGAA